ACTGGATACAAAACTAGCAAATTATTTCATGTTGGATAGACAACCTTCAAAGTACAGAAAGAAACAGCACATCTCTACTACCAGTTGTGACCATGCCTGAGAAGCATATTTTCTCCAGGCAATGAAAAGAATGAAACAAAAACTCCACTTTTTCATTATTTCATTTTGCCTTTAGGATCATTTTTCCATGCCACACTTGCACCAGACAAACATATGACCTTGCTAGGAATAGAGGAACATGCAAGGCCAGGGCAGAAAAACACTTTTGCCTCCACTAAATGAAAATGGATAACAAAGGTTGAGCCCCAGGAATAACATATGTCACAAATAATACTGAGTACCTGCTTCCTGGGAGATTTACACAATAGAGTTCACTCGTCAGCAACAATTTGCCAGTAATATAAATTCAAATTGACAAGACTGAGGTATTATGGAACAGCATTTATCTCAAGATTGTCAGGAGAAGTCATTTCATTGCTTATGATTCATTTCACTTAGTTAGTGTATTAACTGGATATATTATTGATCTTTTCTCCATCCAATTTCAGCTTCTATAGCATGGACAATGTGATCCAAAGAATATCAGTCCTCTTTTTTTTTTTTTTTTTTTTTTTTTTTTTTTAAGCAGAGGAATGTCTGATGAATACCTAGGTAAACATGTCACTGTATTAGACATCTTATCAAAGGAACACATTCTGGAACAAGCAACTGCTTTTGAGGAATACATTAGTGTAAAAGTCAGCTTTCCTATAGTTCTCAGAATATCTAGAAAACTATTGTTCTAGATACTGTGCTGTCCCCTTTGCTTGATTGGATAAAAAGGCAATGATGAAGCAATGATGACAGTCTTTGTACACTCAAAAAAAAAAAAAAAAAAAAAAGAAAGGAGAATAAAAAAGGTTGTCAATCAGAGTAAGACTGTTACATGTCTGGGTGCCACCACCCTACAGGCAGAGAGGGCTGCTTCAAATATATACAAGCCACAGCTGTCACTCTGCAGAACCACACGTCTTCCGCTCTAAGATACTGTCATTTGACAGCTGCTACAAATATTATGAATATCATGGAAGTCCTGTTATTTTCATTTGACAGTCTCTGAAACATAAGGAGCTAGCTATCACTAAAAAAAAAAAAAAAAAAAAAAAAAAAAAAAAAAAAAAAAAAAAGGGAGGGGGTGTGTGTAATAATATAAACAGCAGCAGAAAGCACATTAGGATGTCCTCCTAATGATGCTGAGATGGTCAGCAAGCATACAGGTGGGACTAGGATGATGTTTAGTTTTATTTGGATAGGCAGCAGGATTTGTAACTTTGAAAATCAATCTTCACTCTTTCCTAAGCCCTCTCCCATTTTAGGAATGCATTGAGTTTTAAAACCCTGGGAAAAGATACTGTAAACGTGTTATACTATGCAGTTGCCTTAGAGTGGGAGAGGAAGAAATGGCAGCATTCTAATTTTGCAGCAGCTCTGATTAGGTCCAGCAAGATCAGGGTCCCACTGAAAAAAGCTCAACATAAAGGAAGAATAGAAATGTTACTTTCCCAAGAGTTTACAGCAAAGACAGACTGAAGTCAGGGAATCACTCAAGTAATCTGGAAGAAAAAGAACTACTAACTTCACATCTCTTCAAGTAATTCTCTCCAGAGCCAGAGCCAACACACTCCTAACAGTTTTAGCTTTCCACAGGTAAACCAGATACTTCTGATCTCTGCAGTAATTGTGTCAGTGGATGTTCACATCCTAGAATCAAACTGTACTGTACTGCTGAGATCTTCCTGATCTCAGAGGCCACTGCACACCAGCGATGGCTTGCTGCACACAGGGTGTTCTGCAAATATAAAGGTGCTGCCAAAGTCAGCATTTTTCCTGGGGAAGGCAGCCCTTGGCAGAAACAATTTGCTTCTAATGTTTAAAATGGCTGATCTCACACTTCTCCATTTTCCGGTTTTATGCGATTTTCTCATGGGCAGCCATTCCAATTCGTATGATAAAATTCCCACCTTCACATCGTAAGGCCATTTTGACAGCGCCACTTGCCAGTTCTGTCATCCTCAACCCGCAAGAAATTTAACCCGTTCACTGAAACGCGGGTAGCCAAGCTGTTCAGGCGGGACTCTTAACCAGCAGTACAAATTACATCCAATGACAGATGCCAACACGGTTTTAGCTGCGATCCCGGCCCCGGCGCGGGGCGCGCTGCCCTCACACGCAGTGCGCACGCGCCCCCTTGCGGCCGCCGAGCGCCGGTGCGGGCCCGGCTCCGGCAAGGACGGCGCTGGGATCGCCGGCCGGGAACACCCCGGGAGCGGCTCTGCGCCCCGCCCGGGGCTCGGCACACAGCACCGGCTCCGCCAGGCACTCACCTGCAACCGTGTGAAATGATCGCTTCAGATAGGGCACGCAAGCACTACAGAATACGTGCTATGAAACTAACTAAAAATTTATAGTACCCCAGGCTGGAGTGCAGCTTGGAGAGATTTACGCTTCGTCGATACAGTTGCAAAAACAGCAACTCAGTTAAATTTTGTGTTTACTGTCTCAATCCTTCATACTCCTCTTAAAAGAAATACTCTGAAGTCCTTAGGCGAGAAGGAAACAGCAAAATAACAATATTTACCTAAACTCCCGTTCTTCTTAAATCAAATTGCTTTAGGCTTTTTTGTTTTGCTTGCTGTTTGGGCTTTTTAACACGTAAGTGGACATAGCACATAGCGAGTTTAGAAAGAGCTAGTACAGTTTCAGATGACATTAACAACAACCATATGTAGACCTTGCCGGTGCTTCATGAATTATGCAAGGCTTGCATCAAATCATGATTGCTCTAAATGTGCACATATAAAGACAGCAAAGACAGGACTTCTTACACAGTAGTAAAACAGAGCACTCAACTTGTGGTTGCTAAGGAATATAAACAGTGATGCAGAGAGCTATCAGATGAATCCAGCTGGGATAGGTATCCAAACAATTGTACAATATTTTTTTTTTAATTTGTTTCAATAGGATGACAGCATAATTGGCTAAGAGACCAGACAAAGCCCACAAAAAATCCATAGAAAATGGAAAACCTTCCCTTGACCTCTCTGGGTTTTGTCTGTGTCACAAACTGCAACACTGACAGCCAGAAAATGAAAAAAACAGAATTACACAGAAAGCAGTTCAAATTCAATCAGTCTTTCACAGCCAGAACCCCACAGAAATTCAATATATCTCCATTTGCTATTTCACATTTATATATCCATCTTTTACTTTTTGTCTGTACATCACACAATTAGAAGGCAATTACCTAAATTATAAATTCTTCAGATCATTAAAGCCATTAATAAAATTTGATTTTCAGTGTAAGAGCATTCACACATCAACCAAGAAAACAATTCTTCCTGACTGCATCCCAAACTTGACAGGAACTCCATTTCTATTTCAACATACTCAATCTAATTATGAAGCTTTTCAGCAGATCCAAATACTGCATAAAGTCACCTAAATTAAAGAAGCAGGGAGAAGAAAAAGGTAACTTGTTAAGGCACCTCATCTTTTTTGTAGAGACATTTTGATCTCATACCTCAGCTTTGCCTTCAGCAAGTTTTGGAAGGCTACAATTAAAACATGCTTTGAGCAGTGGGTACAGTAAAGCCTGGTGATTTCCTGAATTAAATGCCTAGAAACTCATTGGAACCTAGAAATGCTCCAATGCTCATCCTATCCAGTATTTTTACTCTCCTGCTGCCAAGTTAACTACAGAGACTTATATGTTGCAAAGAACAGCTGATTTTGCATGTTCTTGCAGTGGTTTCTTTCAGACCACTTTACACCTAAACCCCTTTCTAGCATTTTGCACTCAGGAGCAAGGGTCATGGCAGCCCCAGAATGCTGGAGTCCAAAGCCATGAACAGAAAATGAGGCTGTGTCTCTGCACCTTTCTCAGCAGCAGCAGCAGCTACACCACCAGTTACATGTGTTGCACAGGCAACAGCATGTGACACCCAGCAAGGAGGGACATGTCACACCACCCTCCTGCTTTTCCTTCCACCGACCCTACTCATCTGTGGGGGAAAAAATTACCTACAGAGGTCACACATCAAACTTTGTTTCCTTTTATGAGCAAAACCTTTAGTGGAAACGTCATAAAGTTGATTAAAGTGTGACCATTACCTTTATGAGGGACGTGATTCTGCCTCTCTGCTCCACTGTTAGGAGACCTCCTATCCAGAGTGCTCCCAGCACAGGGAAGATATTGACCTGTTGGAGCAAGGGCAGAGGAGGGTCATGAAGGCTGGAGCACCTCCTCTGTGAAGACAGTCTGAAAGAGTTGGGGTTGTTAACTGAAGACTCCAGGGACGCCTTAGAGCACCTTCAGGTACCCAAAGGGGACTACAAGAGGGCTGGAGAGGGACTTTTTACACCTGCCAATGGCTGGGTGTGGTGTCCCACTGGTGGGAATGGCTTCAAATTGAGAAAGAGTCGGTTTAGACTGGATAGTAGAGAGAAATTCTTAACTGTGAGGGTGATGAGACACTGCCACAGGCTTCCCAGAGAAGTTGTGGATGTCCCACCCTGAAAGTGTTCAATGGCATGTTGGATGGAACTCTGAGCAACCTGTTCTATGGAAGGTGTCCCTGCCCGTGGCAGGGGGGTTTGAACTAGATCATCTTAAAGGTACCTTCCAAGCCAAACCATTCTGTGCTTCTCCTCCGTTTTCCGCCACCGCCAGCTCCTGCTTCGCCCCGCGGTCCTGGCCGCACCCGGGGCTGCCCAGCTCCCGGCAGTGCCCCCTGCCCGGCTGCCCCCGCCTCTCCCAGCACTATCGGGTTCCAGTCCTCGCTTCGCTGGCACTACACCGACGGAGCCGGTGAGGAAGCGGCTCATTTTAGGGCTTTCGCACGGACCAGACCGGCACAGGACAGCTTTCGGCCCCGCGCAGCCACTCGCTGCCGAGCTGCCGACAACGCGCAGGCGGCAGCGCCGGCCAGGGCCCCGTGTGCGGCCAGGACCCGCCCGGGCCGGCCCGGCACACGCCCACAGCGGGGCCGGCCCGGCACACGCCCACAGCGGGGCCGCCGCTGCCCTCCTGTCCGGCTGCCGGCCCCGCGCCCTCCGCCGGTAGGTGCCCGCGGCCGCACCGAACCCTCCGCACAGTGGTCGGAGGAGCTCAGGATGGCCCTGGGAGCTCGGTGCCCCCTCCGGGGGAGCTGGGGGTGGGTGGGCAGCGGGGGTGTCTCGGGATCGCCTCGGGGAGGGCGGCGAAGCGGCGCTCAGCTATCCCGTAAAACACAGCCCAGCCCGCCCTTGTGTACAGGCAGCACCGCGCCTGTGCCGGGCTGCAGCGGGAGCGGAGTTAGTTAAGGGAGATATTTTTAGGAAGCACGAGTCGTGTTTTTTCAAGGCGGCCTTGCTCAGTAGATCGTTTCTGGTAACTGCCGACACATGCGCGTTGCTGTGGCTGCTCTTTGCCCTTCCATTTCATTTCTCTGCTTGCTTTCCCTTCGAAGGAGATGCCTTCTTGTGGCCTTTCCAGTTCCTGCCGGACTGTAGTTCGCTATCCATTTAATCTCGATGGGCACCAGGGAAAAGGAGGAAAATACTCGTCAGATGCATTTGAAAGACATTCTTCATTATCCTTTCCCAAAAAAACCCACCTCTGACTTGACAAGTGTTGTGACTTATAATGATGGCTTGCAATCCTAAAAGCACTTCAAATGCAGTGCTTAAAACAGCTAAATAAAGCTGGATTCTCATTAACTAAAAAAGAGCTGATGGTTGTTTAAGACCCATCAAATTGTCAGATTTGTAATTTGCCATTAAAACTCCAGAGCTGACAGTAAAGGGAGGGGAAAGGGCTCTTTCCTCCTCACTGGCATACCACATCATTACCCAGATCAAAAGCATTACTTGTGGGAGATGCACATACTAAAAACACACTGCAGTTCTTACTCCCTTTTCTAGCTTCATGTCCAACTAATTATTCTTTCTCCATAGATATGAATTACTCTAGGTTCATCACCACTGTGAGTACAGCAAGAAAAGCATCTCCAATAAGACTGCTGAGTGAGTACATGTCCCTTCTTCCCAGTTTCTCTGAAAGTACCATTCTATGTTCTCGTCTGTGCTGGGGTTCCTTGGCTTAAGGCTTTAAAATGTTTGAAAGAAAATCATGCTGTAAGCTGACAAAGCAACTTGACTTTTGTCAAGCACAGATGCCAAGCAGGTATAAAGAAAAATACAGTGAATAGCCTTAAACCATTTCAGAAACCCATCCTGACAGACGAGTTAGCCCTATCACTTTAACAAGTGTATGAAAAGTCTCTGCTACTGTCTCTGAACCCGGGCTTTTGGCACAGTTTGCAACTGAGTTTATGTTGTGTATCCAGGAGCAAGCTACTGCTAGTTACTTCAAATTCAGTCCCAGCATGTTTCTTTCCATCTGGTTTTCTTGTATCCTGTTCATGTCCATAAATGTTTCTGCACCCCCACCCACTCAGTATTGCTACATTTTCCTTTTCCATATTAATCTATCTTTAGGCTACAACATTACATTGTCTTCCATGTGACAGATGGAAGAGCTTAACTGCCTACTTGTTTACTCAGTTGAAACCCACAGAGACCTGACAGAATCCAAGCACGAGATATATATCACTGGTTAAGTCCTCAGGGGTCAATTTCCCCTCTTGGTAAGGGGGTGGCATTTGCTGTTCTGCCTAAAATTCTTCATACAGGTACAGCTAAGTCATGTAGTTCACTCTAGGCAGCTTCTTTTTCAAGTGACACATTAACATGCATCATAACAGAAGTATTAAGCAGCACAGTTCCTGTAGGTAGACATATTGAGCCTGCAGTTTTGATGACAAAGTAAATCTCTCTTTACCAGGCCAAAAGTCACAGGAATAACACAAACTGGTGAAATAACTGATAAGAATTAACTCCCCATGTTCAAGTCTGCTAAAAAGCACTGGAAAATAAACTCAGTAACAGGCCACTTTTAAGCCAGATCTGATGTCATCTGACCTCTCATATCTGATGTAAAACTGTCAAGCCAGCATGAATGCCATATTGTGGCATCAATCAAGTGCCCTTGCTGGATTAAGGTCTAGTCTGCACTGCATAGATTAGATCTGAATGATTGTGAAACTGTGACTTAAAAGCAGGAATTAAGATTTACTTCGTAGCAAATTACTGACACAATGCCTCTGCCACTAAAATTGGGCTGCTAGAAACATTTCCATTCCCTTATAGAAAAGCTGTAATCATCTGTCAGTATAGCTGCCAGATCAGCTTAAGTGAGACTGAATGAAAAACAGAACAAAAACAAAGCCATTCATTTCAAGTCATTCTAAACAGAAGATCATTTAGATTTTAAATTCTTGAAGCTCAAACGACATCAGTCATGACAGTTTTTGTAATAGAGCTGTCCAGATTGTTTAAAAATAAATTACAAATAGGTTTTTTTAACTTAAAATTATTTTTTTTTAGTCTGTCCTAACAGTATTTCCCTCCTAAGGCCCCCAAACACCTATTTAATCCAAGCAGAAAGATGACTTTAAGAAGAGTTATCCTTTTGAATTCATGATAGTTAAACAAGTAAATTGAAAAACAGAACAAGTTTTCTGAGCCATTATTAAATATTGATTAAAGGATATGATTGTCATTGTAATAATCAAATTGTAACCAAGGTGTTTTCCTTTTACTCTAGCTGAATTGATGCAGAAGTCTCCTCCATCTCTCATCTCTCTGGCTGGAGGGGTACCAAATCCTAATCTTTTTCCATTTAAGAGGGCAACTGTTGACATTGGACATGGAACCCCTATTGAGATTGGGGAAGATCTGATGAAGAGAGCTCTCCAGTACTCAGCCTCAGCAGGGTATTTGTCACAGCTGCTTGCACTTTAAGACACCAGAAGCTAAGGATCATAATATCCTTTATTATTGCATTGTCACCTGTGGTTTTAAAACCTGTTCATAAAGCCCTTTTTTCAAAAAATTGGTTCTTCCCAAAACCCATGGGGTTTTTTTTTCAATTTGCCTCACTATTTACATTAGAGTTCCAGTGGAAAATTTTGCAATGAGTTATGTAAAAAGAAAAAAAAAAATCACTTAAATCACTTAAAACCCTAATCCTAGTATTTCTCAAGCCAGAGCATTTCCTAGCTATTAATATTTGAGAATCCAGACACCCAAATCAGATATTATTTTAAAGATACTTCATTACAACACATTGTTTCTATGTTTTGGAGTATTTCTTTTCATTTGGCATCATATACTGAAGTCAGTGTGTAGAACTTGTGGTAATTGAGTGGAGGTATTTATAGAATTGTCATTTTTGGTACAAAAATTGCATAGCATTATATTGCTTTAGTGCTCATGTAAACTTCTCAGCACACAGCACTGAGTCAGGTGAGGACAGGTTTGCAAAAATACTTGGGTCCCTACAGAGACATATGGGGCATCAGTTAAAACTTTTCTTAATATTTAAATGAACCAGCCATTTGTGAACATCCTACAAGATCTTAAGACTTTTTGGAAAACGTGGTTTTTAGAAATCCTTGTAATCTGCAGCATTAAGAAGTTTGTCACACTGCCACATTCGAGTACAGAATGACCATTTCTAGGAGTGGGTATTGTTCAGCCTCCACCCTGTTTCATCCTTGGCAAATAATTACTGCCCAGATTTCACTAGGATAATTTGGTGTATGGACCACAGATGCCCATCTCATTTTCTTAATTTGATAAAGCAGTCATAGCAATTGCATTTAAGTGTATCTGTGTGACAGTTGAAATCAAACTCAGGACTGCATGCTAGTCTTGGCAGGGATTTAGAGGAACAGACTAGCTTTGGCCTATATAAATTCTTAGATATGCCTTCTTATTCATGTTTCAGGATTCCAGAGCTGTTGTCTTGGCTAAAAGATTTCCAGAGGAGCTTACATGATCCCCCCACAGCCAACTACAGTCCTGAGCAAGGACAGATGGAAGTGTGTGTCACAACTGGCAGCCAGGAAGGCTTGTGTAAAGTAAGATCAAAAGATTCATATGCTAGAAGCATTTCATTCAGAGAGATGTTTATTCTTCCATCAGTTCAGCTATATTCAGCCTTAAGTGCTCTCTATAATTATATGCAGGGTACAGTTTCATATTTTCTTTCTCCATAGATATGAATTACTCTAGGTTCATGTACAAGATAAGGGAAATGAAATAAATTGGAGTGGCATTCTAGACTGTCAGGAGTGCATGAAAGTTCAGGTAACCAAAGAGCCTGTGTAAAAAACATGCTATAAGGTAACATATCATGTTACTCAAGTAGTGCAGAAATAAGTGCATAGATGCTTTACCATAATGCTATTTTAAATATGTTTCTTCTCATTTTTACTTCCTGATTTTTTGGGGGTTTTTACTTCCTTAAATAATTACCCTTTCCAGTCCACTCTCACTGCTGTTTAGTTGTTTCTTTCTATAACTTATACAGTAGAAAGGGTGCTTCAGAGCACTGTCTTTCCATGTCGATTTGGTAACCTATCTTAATTTGGCTCTAAAGCAGATTTTTCATCCATTCATTGCCTTTCTCACAGACAGGATATTGATATGGTTAGGGAATTACCAGTATCTAATCAAGGTTTTTAATCCCACTAAGTAGTCAAAAGTACAAAGCACATATATAAAATCTAAACGATCTTTAAAACAATGTTCTCTTTTGCAGGTGTTTGAAATGCTCATTAATCCTGGAGACAACATCCTTTTGGATGCACCCACGTACTCGGGGACACTAGCAGCTGTAAGTGTTCCTTAGCTACAAAACATTGTGAATGTTACATTTGAACTAGACAGCAGTTTGGTACCTGATCTGCAGTCTTACAAACACTGTCTGTATTTGCCATAAAAACATACCTAAGACTCAAGATTTTAGTGTCCAACCAGTCAAGTTCATAAATATTAACTCATAAAAGGTTTCCTAGTGAAAGTTCTATGAAAGGTATTTGAAGTTCTTCTTCCAGCACTAGTTCATTCAAGGGCTAAGATCACACATGGGACTGGAAAGAAAGCCATCAGGACCTAGTTTGGTTGAATTAAATTTATAACAAGTGGGTGTGTTAACATGTCAGCATGTATACCTGCTGTATTTCATGATCAGAGTATACGATAATTTTAAATAGTATCATATTTGCATAGGCCTGAAGCACCCATATATGACTACAAAGATAAGAATTAGTGAGAACTATACAAAAGCAGCAAAGTTTACTTCTGAAAAGTAGTTTAATCAGTATAAAATTAAATGCCAGCTCAAAATGCATGAGTTGCAAGAAGGGTTAGAATAAATAGACCACAAATTCAGTTGTCCACCCTTGCATCAAAATAAATTGTTATTGCTTACTGTTCTCAATTTGAATATATAGTCTAATCAGCTGTATTTTTTTAGGAATGTATTTTGACAATGCAGCAGCTTGCAGTTTTACTTAAAAATGCAGAGCACTACATGGTACAAATTGAAATTCCACAGAGGAAAGACAGCAAGATTTTTCATTGGTATTTTGCCTATATTTTTTCATACTGCTGTCAACATGTCACTGCAGTAGCATCATTTCATTTCATTCTCCTTTATTTTGCTGAATATATCTGTTGAGAGAACAGATTCTTTGCCATTTGTCAGGGAAGAGTAGCTTAAAGCTCTGACATTTCCACCCAAGTAGAGTGTAAATTGTCAGTAGGAAACAAAGGTGCTGTGACCTTAACTGTCTGTGGTGAGAGCATCAGAAGTCCTGAGAGAACAGGTCAGATTTACAAACTCCCTTACCGCTTGAAAAACCAAATCTGATTTCCTAGAGAAGAGCAGCAATTGAACATAGGAGTTACCCATTTCCTCTGCGTTGGCTTACTAGAACAAAGAAAGAGTAATGTGATACGTTTGACAAGCCTTACAGCAAATTCAGGCAAACTTTTGACTCATGAGCAAATGGAGCTTGAGATAGCTATAAAATCAAAAAGAAAGACTTTGTATTGATGAAATGTTATGGTGACAATGACAAAAGTAAGACCTTTGAATTACACAATTATGACAGTTTTGTTCCTTCTATCAACAGCTGAGACCCTTGGGTTGTAATATAATTAATATCCCTAGTGACCAACATGGCATTATTCCAGAAGCTTTAAAAGAAATTCTGTCTGCTTGGAGCCCAGAGGATGTAAAAAATCGTAGCAATCACCTCCCCAAATTCCTGTACACTATTCCAAATGGATGCAATCCAACTGGGAACTCGCTGACCACAGAGCGCAAAAAGGAGATTTACCAGGTATGGAGCTGTGGTCTTGTGAACTTTGTGGTGGAATTGAATAAATATCAGTCTTGTTTCTGTTGAAAGTATCCCATGTTTGGTATTTGGGCCCACTATTGGTCCAGTTGACATTCCTCCTAGAACTACACTCTTTCTAGTGGAATCTCTTCCACAGCAGCTCTTCAGAGGTAGACTATGCCTTAGGTAAATTGTTTTTCAATGGTAGCCCACTGGTAGCTGGTGTCTTTGCCACGGGCTTCTAACAGGACTTATTTCATGTTGCCTGCACAGTCTGAATGCCACATGGAACAGAGCTTGAGTTGCATAGAAGGGTCTGTGTACTACAGGTACCGTGATTAGTCTTACAATTTTTTGATACCTAAATTGGGCACTTGAAGGCTTCTCATCGTGGGGGCTTCTATATAATGAATGGCCAATCAATAGAATCATAATATGATGCTGGTTAAAAAAAAAAAAAAAACCTGACTGAATTTGCAGTGTCTTTAACTTTTATTCCTTTTGTTACTTTTTATTAATTTATTTAGCTTGCAAGAAAATATGATTTTCTCATAATAGAAGATGATCCTTACTACTTTCTTCAATTTCAAAAGGTAATTTTTCTTTCATAATCCTTAGCAACACCTTATTTTATGGGGAGAAAGTATGGTTTCACAAGAGAACTAAGGTTTGAGCCCTATACCTTCCTGCATGGCTCTTCTTCATGTCCTACCAAGGCCTCACAGTCTGTGGCTCCTTTCAGTAATTTTCCCCTTTGTGGTATTTTATATTCTGTTAATTAGTGGTTCAAATTTCTGAAGCCTCATACAGGATAGAATTTTTCAGTAATTAGAAAATTACAAAGACTTTACGTTCAGAGGAAAGCAAGTATGTCACTGAAGCAGCGCTTGAAGTTTACAGCCTCTTACTGTTCCTTTCTCCCTGTCTCTTCGTTTATTCAGCAGAAGACTGTCTACTCTGCATCTGCTATAACCCATTTTTATCCCTTTGCTTTTTGGAGAATCTGGGAGTTCTCCCAGGTACCACACATAGTGGTACTGGATAGGCAGCTTCCCTTCATGTAAATTTTCTGCAAATTTCTTACATGAATCTACAGTTAGTCAGCCTTTAAAAGTACCTAACTTCAGAAATCAAAATGAGTCTTACAAAGCATTAAAACATTGGTAGAAGATAAAGGTCAGCATTCACTCTTTTGAAATGTTTTTATGGAAGAAGACATTAAAACTACCTCACTTACTCATTGACTCATTGTGAAGTTTGTAAGGAAATGTAGAGGAGAAGATGTAAAAACAGAATTCTTGATAAGGAAAAAATATGCTGGACTCAGATCTTCACAATTAGGTCATATCTCCTGATTTAATTTTTTAATATAGCAAAGCAAAGTGCTACAAGGCTCCATTTTAGTAATTGCAGTACCTCTTTACTCCACAGGAAATTTTGGCAGAAAAATCATTATTTCTCTCTCCTTCTAATGGCATCATACCAATACTTAAACTGAACACTTGTGTGAGGAGCAGTGGGCTAAGCAAACATCAAAAATTAACAAAGCTGACTTCTTGAAGATATTTACAGAATATTGTAATCACATCTCAGAAAGCTAGGCTAAACAATCATTTGTCAGCAAGTTACTGAAATTTTTTCCTTGGAATACACGTTTGAGAAATTAATTGTGTCTTCCTAGTAAAAAAAATAATTCCACTATAATCCTTACTAGCACCTTGAATTTTGTTTTTTATTTTTTATTCCAAGCCATGGGCTCCAACTTTCCTCTCAATGGATGTGGATGGCCGAGTTATCAGGACCGACTCTTTCTCTAAAATTCTCTCATCTGGGTAAGGCCAGCTGCAGATCACTTAGCATTGCCTGTTCAGTTAAGATGCAAGACTTCATATGAAGTGATGAGACATGCCATAGTGTTTTCTCATTTAATAACTATCCACTTCTGGAATGAACTTCTGAATCAATGGATTTTTGCAGTCTTCTCTCTTTTCATGTCATTTCTTGGCAGTCATTTTACTCCAGGTTCTGTTTCTCTTCTGATGCAGATAGCTAAGCTTCTCACCCCAGGCAGCCCATTCTTGCAGGCACCATCTAGGCAGAAGACAGATGCTGGAACTTTTAGGAGCTTTTCTCTTTTCTTTTTTTTCTATTTCCCTTTTTATCTATCTCTTAGTATTCCTGCAATCTCCCTGAATGTAATACAGAAAAGAAACTATCATTCTTCACAAACTGTTCATAGGGTTGTACTGATATCCAGCCTTCCAATTCTTTCAGGTTGTTTCCACCTGCCAGAAAAAGAACGAGGCTTGGCTGTTTTCCATTTCACATAAGTCAATGTATTTGATTTTTAGCTTGCTTTTGTCTGTTAACGTAATAGATTAAAAAAAATTAATGTAAATTCTGTATTGGCAGCCAGTGGGTTATAACCCATCCTAAAGAAAGTGAGGAGACAACATAGTGCTAAGTGTGATTGCATTTTCAGAAGTGACACCACAAAATGGCATGACACAGTGTTATCTTTTCCAAAGACACATATGAGTTAATGGGTTCCCTTTTTCTTCAAACAAAAACTTCAGCCATTCTGTAAAGATGGTTAATAAGAATTGAAGCATAAGTAACCATCTTGTTTATCAATCTATATTCCATTCCTTCTGCAGTACTGAAAGGGAGCAAAAGAGTAAAGTCATTTGCCACTTATCTGTTTGTCATAAAGCCTGAGCATTCATGATCTTTTATTACGGGAAAACTTGTCTTTCCTTCCCTTTGATTCAAGTTATCTTTATGGTTCCAAACATAGATTTTGTCCTGAAGCTTCATAACTATGAAGCTACTATAAGCATTAAAACCTCTTAAATATTTTTATTTCATGACTTTGATACTTGGCTTCTAAATTGTGTAACCTGAGGGCAGTATTAAGATATAGATAAATTTGAATGCATAAGAGATCCTTACACTGTCAATAAAATCGTTGCATGTTTTCCCACATATAACTCAAAGTATTAGCACCTTGCATTTCTGAAGTCACTTTTTGTTTGGTTGCTTTCCAGTTTAAGAATAGGTTTTCTGACGGGTCCCAAGCCTCTCATCGACAGAGTTGTTCTACACATTCAGGTGTCAACAATGCACACCAGCACTTTCACACAGGCAAGTACCAAGCCACCAAATGAATTGTGTTTAGAGAAGACAACATATCCCAAGTTATAAGAAACCACAAGCAAACAGCTTTGTGTTTTCATAATTGCTCTGCATTTTCACAGTTTTGTTTATGCAAATTCATTGTCAATTCTGCCAAAAGAAAATACCATCTCAGAATTCGGAACCAGAGCTAGAGGGTTGTCTCAGTGCATGGATAGTACAGCTGATATCCCTTAACCCTCAGATTTCAAGAACCAAGTCTTGAAATATTTTATCTCTTCCTGGTAGGTTTTTTACAACTTCAATGTAAAGCACAGTATGGAAGAAACACTCATTTATTATTTTTTATTCTACTTTTCGATTAAAACAATACTGGCAGCCCACAAAGACATTTCAAAGCAAGCTGACAGCTACAGCCCCTTTATGGTTAGTGATAAGGAAAGGAGACAGTGAACACATCTAAATATGGCTTCCGTCTTCCAGCTCCATTAGCTCATCACTGTTAAAGCGGAGAAGCCGATGTGGACAGGAAGGTAAAGCAATATACAGTGCCTTCCTCTTTCTCCCCAGTTATCATATTTACCTCTCCATCCATTTTTCCCTCCCCCCACCCAAGCTTCCAAATACTGCCATGATCCTTGGAGACACCAGTAACATGGACAATAATAACCTTGGCATCTCTCTTTATAAAGGGCTCCAAGAAACATCGCATGCAATTTCATGTCTGGGGAATGTTGAATAGTGCATCTGGCTATGGATCTTTGATGATTGTGGAACAGTCCTGTTTAAAACATGGTATTGATGATGTGTTTTATTTCTGTAGATTATGATATCACAGCTGCTTCAGCAATGGGGACAAAAGGGTTTCTTGGAGCATATAGACAGGTAGGGTTATGTTCTGCACTGAATCCCATCATCTGTTATTCTGCTACTTGCTACCTACAGCAAACATTCTTTGTAGTAAACAAGTCAAAGTAGGTGCACCAGTATTAGACCAAGTAGGTAACACAGGTCACCAAGACTGTTGGGTTCACACAAGAGCCCTGAAGAGACACAGTGTGAAGTTGCAGACAGGCACGTCAGGGCACATCACCTACTGCTCCAGACAGACAATCTGCCAGTCCATTGGCACAGACATGTAGCTCCCACCTGAAGGGAACTTGAGAGGATCCTGGAAGCTTCAAGCTAGTGAATAAAGTTCTGATCCCTGATAAAGTGTTAGGGTCTATAGCAAAAGCTGAGATCACTGAGCACAGATTCTATTGAGAAAGAGTCAGCATAGCTTTTATAAAGGGAGTTCGCTAAGTTAGCAGGAATTTACACTCTTGCCATCCTTGATCTCCTGAGTGTGGATACTGATGGCAAAACAGTGAAGTTCAGCTACATGCACTAAACATTGTCTGAACAATGCCTCTTGCTGGTAGAGAGAGAGCACTGGGCTACCATCTAACTCATAAGACATTTCTTGCATACTGACTGACACACATTTAGTTTTCACTTATTATGCAGGAGGAGCATAGTTTCTCTAGACAGTCACTGCCTCATTTTATGTGCTCTACTTTGATATCGTTAGAGCCCCAAGTTTCTCACATCAGTAGGAGTGTGCTACACTTTGCAAAGGCCTCTAACAACAACATGAGCAAAACATGCAAAAAGTTCTTATACCTCACTGTAACAGCTACTTGTGTCCCCTTGATGTTCATACTGTAAACAGCAATATTAAAAAAAAAAACCCAAAAAAAAGACACATCAGCTTTAACACTGCTTTGTTTTAAGATTTAGGAATATAAAGATAAGTGTCACAGAGGAGCTTGGACCACACTTTAGCTCAACTTTCAGTAGTTCCTAAAAAATAAATCCCACTTTTCACTTCTGTCATTCTTATAGGCCAAAAGGCAGCCTTGATCAAGCCCAAACACTGTTCTTCCACTTTAATGAAAATAGGGCTGCAGTGGGGCAGCTGCAATGCTCTATAACCTTACTGATGAGGCCCCACAGCTGACTGCAATCTCTTCCAGCTGATTTAATTTGTACAAGGGTGAGGTGTTAGATTAGGCATTGGAGTAGAAGGTGATCTGGTTTTTGGAGCAGTTACGTTTTTGAGGACGTTTCATCTTAGTAATTGTTATGATTTCAGCACATAGTTAAAATGGTAACAGGATTTGCAATTTTGGTAAAAAACTGCACAAAGGAGATTTACTCTTTCATGTAGAATGTAGCAACAGATATAACTGAGCCCCAAAACTATTTAAGTATCTGGAGGTATTGGTGTTTTTGTATCAGATATAATAAAATACATCCATAAATCAAAGCTATTGCTTCAGAAAGTATTTTTAAAAATACAAGTGTAAAATTATGATTTTCATTTAAAATTATGATTTTCATTTAAATTATGCAAATTACTAAGGATGTTTTCTTAAGACTTGGGAACACATTTGCATTTGAATTATGAACTCAGTATCAGGCATTTCTCTTGTGTCTTCCATTGCACAGCTGTGTCATTTTATGTCGACAAGAGCCACTGCATGTGACTTGTCCATGGTGAAGCCTTGGTTAGGGTTGTTTTTCCCAATAACAGATTAAATTACTTGAAAGTTTTACTTACAGTATGAAGGAGATAAGTTCAAAAGTTCAGAAAAGGGGAAGCTGTCAAACCCTTGTGACAGGTTTATCATATGATTTGCTTTTTACCCTGTCAAATGTAATTTCCATATGTACCTGTTACACAGATTCAACCCAAATGAACAAATATTAAGTCTGTGCTTTTGCATATGTTAAAGTCCCTAATTTTCTTCAGTGTGTGCGCTTTGTGCAGTAAATAGTGTTAGCAGGACTTATACACACTGCTATAGTAGACAGATTGGATGTAATATGTAAAAGGTTTCTATGATATGTGTAAAGCTGAGGAAGCAGCCACAAAGGGACTTCCTCTGTCTGGCTGATCAGTGCTCTGTTGGAGATGCAGTGAAGCAGTAAAGACTTCTTGCATACATATATGAAGTTTTACGCACACAGTATACTGTCTTGTGCCCACCTAGGATATGTTTATATTTCTATTAAATGTGCACTTGAGTTGTTGAAGTAGAAAACTTTGTTTCTGCCTTCAGAAACAAACAGACTCTGAAGGAAAATGAGTTCATGACTTTGAATTTGCTTTCAGAGTGGTGGACTTCTACAGGATACAGCGGGATGCAATGCTAACTGCTGCTGACAAGTGGTTAAAAGGTCAGAGTGCAACACAGATAATCACTTAATTTTTTTTTGCTAGCTATTTATCATTTTTGTGCTCAAGAAAAATCACTTAAGTTCATCTCTTGACTGAAGCGACAGATAAGCACTATAAGCAAATCAATTGCATTAAATATTAAGCTTAGGACAAACTCTATTGCTGCATTTTTGTGCTTTCTGGTAGGACAGGGAGATAGATGGTGATTAAAAAAAGCTCACAACATTACTATTTAAAGTAATTTTACAAAGAGCCTGTATTTCACTTCATTATGTTCTTATACTTTTGATGTTTAAAATCTCTGTCTTTAAAAAAATCTCTGAAATAGTGACCTTAATTTAAAAGAAGATATAAAAAATCACTATAGCAATAGTGATAATGTTTGTATCAGTAAATCTAAAACGTCACTGAATCTATGATTTATCCATTAGAAGTGGGGCATAATTTTCTTCCTTGATTCCATTTTCTCTCTCTCTCTTTATCCAGACTTGGCAGAATGGTACCCTCCTGCTGCTGGCATGTTCTTATGGATCAAAATTAAGGGTATTTCTGATACACAGCAGCTGATAATGGAAAAGGCTTTGAAGAAAGAAGTATGATGTGATTTAATGACCTGTGATCTTAAAAAGAAGGGAAGGATAAAATATCTGCATCTATCCACATGTGCACACATAAAAAAGTAGGGGGACTTGCTGTGCACCATCATTAAGTCTGCAAGTCAGGCACTGTGGCAGAGTTATTGACTAAGAAAATATTTTCATGACTCCATTCAGATGTTGATATTTTATCAGTTTACTTAAATTGAAACCAGTGTAACATACGGTAAAATGTTATTATACATGATATATATATATATAATATTAATATATATACCTACATGTATGATGGCTGCTGACTAAATTTTTTTAATGAGAGAGAAATTAAGTTTGGTTTTATTTCTCCAATTTATAAGACCCAGCACTGTGTACTGAGTAAGCAACACCCCAGGTGCTTCTAAGAACCTTGTGATGATATGAACGAGACCTGGTAACCAAAACCCTTTGGTTTCATTATGAAAAATCTGGTCACATGTTGCATATTTTTGTCTCCTCATTTTGAAAAAAAGAATATATTACACCATGTTCACACTTAGAAGTGTGTAAGCACTGAGATTTCTCAAATTTAATTTAACATATTGTTTTTAAAATGTCGAAGTGATAATAACTGTGTGGTTAATCACTTTTTCATAGGTATTACTGGTTCCTGGAGGAGCATTCAATATTGATAGTTCAGAGCCTAGTTCTTATGTCAGAGCCTCCTTCTCTCTGCCTTCTCCTGCCCAGATGGATCTGGTGAGATTTTTTTTTTACATTCTTATCAAGACAGTTTCTCACACAGTAATGCTCCTTTATCTTTTGCATCCTTCTCCTTATATTTTTTCTTGAATGTTAGAGGTTTTAGTCTGTAGGTGATTAAGCCGTACTTTCACAGTAGTATTAGCTGTTCCTTAAGCAAGATACTCATCCAAATGATCTTCAAGATACCAAATTTTGAGGACCACTTAGAATTTTTCTGTGTATCTCATACATACAGTGTCTCACAGTTAAACCCCCCAGACATTATTTATAAATGCTTTACTGAAGCCAGAGTATTTGCCTGAAGCCAGAGTATTTGCTTAAGCATTGGCAGGCATCATGTATCTTTCAGACTTTGGATTCCTCTGATTCTGAGATTGAATTACCTGTGTTGTTTTTTGTGTGTGTGTGTGTTAGCAATTCTTTGTAAGAAAGTTCCTTTTGTACAATTTACATACATGCTTTATTATTTATTTCTTTGTTATTTTATTTATTTATTATTCCTGATATTATTATTATCAGGAACTAATCTTTTATGTGTTTTCAGAGACTTTTTGATGTTATTTGGCTCTATCTATAAAATCAGTGGGAGAAAAGATAGGAGACATTTATTTGAGCAGATTTAATACTGATTTGATTGGGGTGCTTGAAACAGTTCAGTATTTGTAGTTGTATTTTCATGCAGTTATGAAGGCTTGTAAATGACAAGTATAATCTATGGAATACTTGTAACAGATAAGTTTTTCTTTTTAGTTCTTCTTTATTTCTTCTACTTTTTTCTTTTTTAAAGTAACTCATAACCATACTATTGACAATCAAGCTGTATTTTTATATGCAGCAGAACGAACTTTGTATTTTGAAATATTGATTCTATAGAGTTAGGGCAATTTTAGTAGCTTTACAGGTTTGATGTGTTCCCTATTCATGTAATGCTGAAATATAAATGCGAGCCCTATTTTTCATTGCAGGCCTTCAAGAGACTGGCCGACCTTATAAAAGAATCTTCGTGAAAAAGCTAAATAGAGCTCTTGCAGTAATAAAAATCATCTCCAGAAAATAGTTCTTAACATTTGGATTTCATCAGAACACTTTATAAGCAAGCACAATATAGTGGATGTTTCCTTAGATCTTTTCAGCTAGAAAATAGACTGAAAATGAAAGTGAAAAACAATTTGTCTAATCTTTTTTGACAGGATATTACATTACTAAATGTATCCAATTCATAAACATTTTAAATACTCAAAACCAAAATGTTCTATTTCCTGTAAAATCCATGGTATTGTTAGATTTAAATTGATTTTTGTTCTGACTTTTGTTTTCCATTTCAGCTGGGAAAAGAAATCATTTACCTAGAAAGTTGCACTTGAGGTGGTTTTAGCCACTATTACTTCTCACTGTTAACATCAACTGATACAGTCCTCCAAAATCTTATGTTGGAATTGTCTCATGGGTCACTTCCATTCTTGTCCTTCTGTATGGCATCTGGTTTTAATGATTTGAGGATTAGTATTTAATTCTACTGAAGTTTTGTCAGACAAAGCTGATGTAACTATGTTAAAAAAATTTAAAACTGATCCAACAAAATGAGGCTGTGAGTACAATTAAACTGGGGTCCCTTGCAATTTGCAGGGGTATTCTCCAATTTGTAAAAGGAGTTCTGATTGCTGTTTTTTACTTCAATCTGTGAATAATTACTCTGTAGCTGTGGTAGAAAATCTATGGTTTGCCAAGGCATGTGTATGTACTAAAGGAACTACTCTTGGTTATTCAGTCAGATGTGGTTGTGAATGGAGTGTGTAAGTAACTGAACAGGGGACATGGTGAAATGGACACCACCCTGACACTGCCAGATGCAAACAAAATGAAAAAATTGTTTCAGTCTCTTATTCCTTGGTTATTATCATCCCAAACATTTGATACTCAGCGACAGGTACAAAAGCTTCACAAAGTTTCAACTGATCTGATTCTCCAAGGCTTCCCATTTGGATTAGTGACTTCAGTTTTACTTGCTGTTTGGATGAAAGCACTGTGATTTTCCACTAATATCGGATGGCTGCTTCTTTTTGTGCAACTGTTCAGAATTTCAAAGTAAAACATTGTTCAAGGATCTAGTTAGCCATTCAGCAGCCCAGGCAACCCGAGCAAATAAGGGTCAGGCACAACCTGGAAGTTTCACAACAGAAATTATTACTACAAATTATTATTACTACAAATTTTTGAAATACTTACAATAATTGTCATTCCCTCTTTTCCCCCTAGTTATAAATAGCATGTGTCACAACAAACTAGCACAGATATATGCCTTTCCCAGCATCCCTCCCATTGGCAGGATCATTCCAATGCCTCTAGCCCAGCATCACTTTTCATGTCAGTCTCAAGCCTTTTAATTTAGTCACACATCCACACCATCTTGAGCAGCATATCTAGGATCAATCCTTTGCTAAATTCCCAGATTCCTGCAGCTTTTAGGTAAATCTACTGGAGAGGAACTGACATAGGTGGGGGCAAGGTGGTGCAGTGGATGGGACTGGCTCCTCCACAGAGCAGCCAGGATCCATGGAGTGACAAAGAGAGCTTGCAGTCCCAAATCTGCCCTCAGGGTGCCAACACTGTCTTTGAAGACAAACTTGCCCCATTTTACGTAGTTTGAGGGTGCTAATGGAGGGCCCAAACTAGCAGTGCCTCACGTGCAGTGCTGCTCAACAGGAAGTACTCACGTCTCAACTCACTTTCATAAGCATGTGTAGAAATGATGAAAACTCTAATGTTGCTGTCAGGCAATTTTTATCTTGGGCTCAATTGCAAAAATTATTTTATCCAACAACAAACTGATATGTCTGTTTAATTAAAATAATATTTTTATAGAGGAATAAATATAAACAAAATTTAAGACTGATTTTAGTTATCAGGATTGTCAAATATTTTGGTTGTATTGTCATTCATCCAAACCTGAATTTGATAAACAAAATCAAAATGTCATTATTAAGTAAGCCTTAAATTGGTGGTGTGTTGAATAAAACACCTCTTAGTTTTCAGAGAATTAAATGTTAATTTGGTTGAATGTAAGCAAAATGCAATTAAATTTGTGCCACATTACCTGGTTTTGCTATCAGCTAATTTAATTTAGAGAGAGGGGGCTTTTTTCCCAACTGTGATGTAATTAAATTAATATCCTGAACAATGCAAATTGAACAATGGCAGTGAAATCCTATATGCACATGCTGTTTCCATGAACCTCTTAATGCACATTTTCTGGTCTCCTGGGAGAAAGCTTTCACTGTTATTAAATGTTCATGGAGGAAGCCACTTGGAACAAAAGGTGGGCAGCATGTTCGCATAGGAAGAAATGACATGGCAATTGAAAGTTTTGGGTTTCCCTTTTCATTTCATCCATCCTCGAGCAAATAACCTCTCTCATTCATAGCTGGGTTTGAGCCACCTGATGCAAGTGACAATCTGCCACTGGGGAAGAGAGGACACAGAGGAAGGGAAGGGCCGGGCTCGGTGTGGGGAGCGCAGCCCCCGGTGCTGCCCTGGTGGGGGCAGTTGAGGAGGAGGTTGCTGCACTGCTGGAGAGAGCTGCCTGGCACGGGCAGTCCCCCACAGCCTGGCTCTTACTTCTGAGCGAGCATTCAGCTGCCATTCTCTTGTACCTGCACTCTGGTTCCACTGCATTTTCAGACTTTTGGCAGATGAAAACCACCTAGAAATTCTGGGCAAACTCTGGACACTTGCAAGTTCTATTTGCATTTTATAAAAACCTACTTGTATTTCAGTTCTACTTGTATTTTAAAATCTTGTGACCTACACATCCGCAGTTCTTTTGGTCCTGCCTTTGCAATCTGGACTGTGACCCACTGAGGCAAACATGTAAAAGAATTCCATTGAGCTATGCTGTGCATGTCCTAATCTGTCTTGTTTTCTTTATTGTTCAATAGCAGGTTTTGAGCAGCCCACTCCAGACAGTCTTATGTGGGAATAGAACAGTTTCAGTGTTTGAACTGTAATTATTCTGAATAAAAATGCAAAGAAACATGCAATGCAAAGAAACATTTTCATTCTTCTAATATTGTTCCCAGGAATACCATGCTGTGCCTCACTTTTCTCCTAATGATTATGGAAACTATTGTGCAACCCTGCAAAGCACAGAAGACACAAGGAGAGAAGAATAAGGGTCTTGCTGATTCTTTTCAAGAATTAATATCCTAGAAACATGTTAACAAATCTGGCTACAGCTAGATTACCTGTAGATGTATAGAATGTGGAGAATACCTTCAGAATTATATTTTCTTTTTATTTTCAAATTATAATATATCAGATGTGGATTGACATAATAAGTAGATATGCTTTAATATGGTCTGGGAAAAATTAACATGAAAGTCTTTCTGTTCCTTGATGTACACAGAACTTTGACCTTTTTCTACATTTGGCTAATAATAAACTTAAGATATTTTCTTGCAGCTTCATCCAATAAATCAAGCATTAACAGAGGTAGATAAAGTTCTTCTGACAATATCAAATTATGTTATTGTCTTATATGAATGTATAATTTAATAAACTCTCTGAGTGTCTGCCTCTCTACAAAAACTACTAATAAAGTGGAGGAATGGAAAGACCACTTCAGTTTTCTTGGTGGATTATATGAAATCTTATAATCAACACAGTTCCAAGAACTTGGAAGATGTTACTTAATAAGAAAATAAGCTAATTTCTGTGTCTGTGAGGAAGACTGGCAAGAGTTACTCTCTTAGTACAAGCCTAGCCAGGTAAATTGTAAACATTTTAGGCAACCCACTAACATGAAAGCAAACACCTTTTTAGTAATGCCTCGAAAAAAAAAAATACTTTATCACCCAAACAAATAGAAAACAGCTATGATTTTTACAGGATTAACCAACACTTTTGCATCTCTGCTTTTTATCTTTCCTGGATTTCTTTGTTCAGCTCTTTTTAAGGATGTTCCTAATCCACACGGGCCCCAGGTGACATAATTTTCCAGTAATTAAAGCCAATTAGTTTCTTAAAATTGCCACCATATCTTTTTTTTATCTTTTACAGATATGCTATTACCTTATTCTCTACACTTGTAGATCACATCATATATAATCCTATCAATAATTAATCTCTGGCTAGTGGCAAGTCTGACCCTAACTCTTTTTCATTTAAAGCAGCCAGCATCACTTTAGGAGACCAGCACTAATTTTAGAGAGATGTAACTCAGAAGGGTAACTATCTGGAATATAATATTGCCTATATCTTCAAGTAACAGCAGTTATTCCAAATGAATAAATGTGTTATTTCTTTCTGCCTCCTAATTGGCATAATGTTTCCCATTTGGATCTTTTTATTTCTTTTTATTCAGCTATTCTTGCTTATTACCCTAGCAAGTCTGTGATAAGCCATAGATGTTAGATTAGTTCCCACATAATAGATGTGAAGAGAGGGCTTTTAGAAAGCAACATGCACAGATGGTTCAAACTCTGTGGATATCAGTCATGCTTGCAAGGGCTGTTTATTGTGAACAAGAATCCCAGGGACTCACAAGTTTCAAAGCCAAAGCAAATCATCATCAGCTTTATAAGAAAGGCCATACATTTTCATTACCTCTGGGAAGGATATCCTATCTTGGTTTTAAGACTTGAAATGATAGAAGACACACCAGCATAATCTGTTGGATTAAAGAGCCCTTCATTTACATGGCATTCTCTCCAGTCATGTCACTGGTATTAATTCAGCTATTTCCCTAAAGCCAAAAGCAAGGGATAAAAAGGATATATTTCAAAAGTTTGGAGCTGCACTCCTAATTAATGAATTTGAAAAAGATTTTCTGTAAATCTCCTCAAAATCTACCCTAATCAGGTTAAATATATTTCCCTTTAAGACAGGAAGGTTTTGTAAAGTAGATAAAACAGTGAATAGGAAAGGCATCATTGGAAATAGTTTCTGTATTGGCAAATCACTCTTTGCTGCCCGGTGTCAAAAATAAGGAAATAAAATTTTAGCCTTTTATGATTATCATAATATCATAACCAACATAGACATCTGATGCTAGGAGCAATTTTTATTGTTTTTTTAAGACCATTGGATCTGCCTTGTTTTGAATCCTGACAATTCAGGTCTTGGGCTACTTTGTAAAAGTGACATTCAGGAAACTAATTTGGAGTTCCTTATCTTAGTACCAAAGCCATGAAGGTGGGATGGGGCAAAACATTCATACAATTCCCTCACTGATTCTAAAAGTAAAACTGGTTTTCAGAGTGGGTAAAGTATTTAAGGAGGTGAAGTCCTACTGATTTTTTTTTATATTAGACTATTAGACTCTTGAATGACAAAGTTAATTTTTAAAACAGAACTAAAATTTCTAAGACCATTACATTATTTTGATAAATCCCATATAAAAAGCTTTGTTATTCAAAACTGAAAGGGCAAGAGGAAATCTTTGCCACTTGAAAGTTTCCTGAATGAAAAGTTGCAATGCTGTGACTACACGTACACACACACATTGCATCTGAGGTCTAATAAGAGTGGAAAATATATTTACAAACTGATTAATAGTGTTCACTGACTTTTCTTTTACTGTTTAAAATAAAATATTGATGATGTTCAGGACAACTGAAGTAAGAAGGATAACACTGGAGTTAAGTTCAATAGCAGAGGAGGAAAGGAAAGTAGGACAAAGCATGTAAAAAAAGTCTAGTGACTAAAGACAAGTAGAAATCTTCCCCAGAGCTAGATACAAATTGTTGAGACTTGCTCTGTTAGAGAGGGTTCTAATACTCATTCACAGTTTTAACCACACTTTCTGATTATGAAATGGCCTTCTTTGTCAAGAGATAAAAATATTTTACTTCTCTAAAATTTGTACCAAAATGTATATTAAGGATAATAAACACCAGTCTGAAAAAAACCATATATCACTATGTAACTACTGGCACTTTGAAGAATCTCATAAAAAATTTGGCTTACTCTGTTTGTTCCCCAGGCTGTAACAGAATTCTTCTAATAGCTTTGCTAACATCTTTGCCTCCAAACTAGGCATTCAATAGCTGTCACAGCTTGCTTCCAGTAGCAGCTTCACAGACCACAGAAAATACAATATGCTGTGATAAATGAGCTACACAAATGTTTTGCTCCTGCCAAAACCTGAAACTCACAACAAAGCCTTGCTCTTGCACCTTAACGTTACACAGGATTTCATGCAGGCCAAATATATAAATGGATCTGAAAAAGGGATTAAACACAATGATTTGGAACAGGATCATAAAAGAATTTTAAACACAAAAGAGTGTGGATCTGTGAGGTCCATATCAGGATTCCCTAGCCCAATGATTGCCTCAATGGGAAAGGATATCAAGGGATCACTAAATAGTTCTCCATTTTTTATGCTCTTACTTTGGCCATTGACAGAAACATTACACTGGACAAAAGAAAATTGGTCTTAACTAATACAGCAATACAGATGTTTAAGTTAGCTTGTCTCTGATTTAGCAAGGACTGCTCAGCTAAGACATATTATTTTGTAGGAAGTGAGTGACAGTGAGAATTAAAATCTAGAGCCAAGCTATAGAGCAATCTGCAATTCATGCATAGGCATTGAGTCAGTTTACTGCTAAGTTCAAGCTTTTCTTAAGGTCACATCTTTTTCCCAGTCTTGTGCTCAGCTCAAGGCAGTGGCTACATTATCATGCAGAGTCTATATACAATATCTCATTTCCCCATTGTAACTGCAATTGAATACAGATGTACTGATCAGCTGCACTGGAACAACATGTTGGTTATGTAACAAAGAGAAAAAAATCCTGATGGTGTCGCCACGTGGGCAGAGCATTGTAAAAGGGTTTTACTTGAATTTCCTACTCCTTTCTGAGTAACTCCAAATGAGTTCCTTTAGTCTCTGTATCCCCATGGTAATAATGATAGCTAACATCCTTTTGTAAAGGACTTTGATATACAATGATGCCATTGACATTTCCAGGTACTTACATCATCAAATTACAAAGTAGAACATGCCAAAGAATGCAAATTCATGTGTCATTATCTTTTTCATTATTGCAAAGAGGAATCTTATCCATTTCATCTTTTGTGATTCTAAGAGGTAAAAATTCTTTTCTGAATTTCCTAGTATTTGGTGGGGGGAAGAGATCAAAGATAAGAGTATACATCCTGTCTTTAAGAATCTAAACTAGTAGCCCTGATATCACTTCCATGCCAGGAGAGTTATCTCTCCAGTCACTCTGAGGGCAGTGGAGAAAGAGAGGTGCATCTGGATCAGGAGGCTTCATTGCTCTGGGTCACTCTAGCTGCACTCAAGGCCCCATCTCTCTTGTCCCAGCAAGGGGACAGAGGCCTGGGAGGACAACCAGGCTCCCATAGTGCCCCAGCCTCCTGTGCTGCACAGGTCTGAACACGGAGACTGGCATGCATTCAGGTGGCCTTGTGCTAAATAAGGCAGCTGCATTCTACGTGCTTTCTAACCTGCCACAGTGGTTCTCACATGCTTAAGCAGACCGACTTTGAAGTGGCATTTGCCTTAAAATTCTTACTATGGCAGAGCATCAGAGTTGTCACTGAATCACAGTGCCTGTCATTTGTACATCCCTTCATAAGCACTCCCTAAAAACATCTCCCAGACTGGAGCTATTGCAAGAACTACTCCTGTTTTCATTTCAATTCTATTTGAAGCGTAGGGCAAGAAATGGGGAAAGCCCATCAATATAGTGCCCCTCATAACAGTAATTATGAGGAGTTATTAATATTTATAAAGCTTTTTAAACTGGCTTATTTACTAGATGTGGCTCTGGGAATTCATCTCCAAAATGTCAATTTATGAAGGCCACAATGTACATATCTTCATCTGAATTATTCACGTTGGTTGACACAATTAATCTTTTCTCTAGCTGAGGTTTAAAACTGGGTCAGATGAATTGTATTACTAAGGTTCTTTTTTCCTTCTGTTGCCAGTGACTCACTTTAGTACAGAGGACTTTATTTTAGTTATTGAAAGCTCTGTGAGAAGAAGCTCATATTTTAAAGTTCTTTTCATTACATTCTTGTTGTTTCATGTCATGCTGGATCTCCTGCTAGAGATGTGTGTTAGTGGGAGCCTAGTGGAAGTTTTTAGAAATTCATGAAATTATTTTTTCTTCATTAATGACAGCAGATAATTGTAGGTTTGGTGTTAATACACCTCACTTATTTATAGCTTTATTTTTCCCTTCATGCCTTAAGCACTAATATTTCTGTTAGTGGAAGCTGAGGGCCTGATACATCTGCTATTTTTCCTCTTGGATAAGCACTGCTCCAGAATAGTGATGAGGAAATAACTCCACAGTGTGCAGACAGCTGTGGTTCCCAGCACTCTGTAACATCCTTCTCATGGTACAACTGTATTCTAGTCACATTGTTAAACTCATACACTTAACCCATCATCCATGCAACTAAGGGTACCTTTCTGCAGCAGGTCTAAAGAGTTCACTTTTCTATTTAGCTGAGATTTATTAAAAGTAAAATTAGACCTTTTAGCTTATCCCAACACTGATTATCAGCACAGTTCTATGAATGCAGATCTCAGAGAATATCTTGGCCCTTTCACACAGATAAGCACCAATGTGGCCTCCC